TTACCCGATACTGCTTCAATATCTGTGTTCTTACAACAGACTGACCACCCGACAGACTGCTTGACCTACACACTGACTTAGTGACTGACTGACTGACTGGGTAAATGACTGACTGACCAGCCAACAGACTGAATGACCTACACATTGACTGACTGACTTACTGACTGTCTGGATAAATGACTGACTGATCAGCCGACACACTGAATGACCTACACACTGGCTGACTGACTGACTGACCGAGCGAATGGCTGACTGCCTCACCGACTGATTAACGAAAGAAACTTGGAAGACTGATTGCATCGAGGTAACCTGCGATTGACAGCCATCGTTTCCGGTAGAAGTAGCAATCCCCAGAGTCGCTTCATGCCATGTAACTGGAATGAGGTCCAGACTTGATGAGCAACCTGACTCTTAAAACTTAACCTCAAGGCAAATAATTTCAGGCGACTTGGAGTGAGTTGAATAAACTGTTCATGTTTTCTTTTACTGACCAGGGGCAAGAGAATGATATAATTCTCATATCTCTGGTCCGAAGTAATAAGGAAGGGAAGATAGGCTACTTATCATCAATGAATCGCTTGTGTGTGGCAATTTCACGAGCACGCTGTGGTCTCTACTTATTTGGGAATCAAGTGCACCTGGCAAATGCTTCTAGGAAAGGTTGGAAGGTAGGCGTTCCCCGCTGCCGTGTGGGATCTGGGTCCAATAAACATGGTAAAAAAGTTATTACATTTATTTAATTAAGAAAACCGCCAGGCTAAACGTTCTACTTTTAAACTTTGGAGTTAAAGTGGATATTCAGATTACGGGTAACGAGTTGTTTGGTTTTTATTCTGTAGTAAATCTGCCTGGAAACCGTTGAAACAAAAATGAAACAAAACAAAAAAATGAAAATTAGTTTAATCACACTATCATATCAAAATGTGAGAAGGTGTTTTTAAGTTATTACTATTAATTGAGTATTACTGCAGGTAATTCTGAGAAATTTTGAGCGAGGCAATTATTATTAGCAACGTTTGTAACGGAGGCACTTTGTGGAACGGATAAATTTGCAAAAAGTTATAGGTTGTCTCTCTAAAGGGTTCTTTACCTTCTTTAGGTTATTCGTGAATTTATGCGGAAGAAGAAATCTCTAGGTGGAGTATTCCCGTTTTGCTCGAGTGGAGATTTCGTAAGTAAGACAATTTTTTAGCTTTACTACAAGCGCGTGGCTTTATTTGCACCTTACTTTTCTTTTTTGATGATACCAATTTTTCAATAAAACTCGCATGAAAAGTAGCTTTTTGTTATTGGTCATGATAGTAAAGAAGAAAATTATCTCTTGGACCTAGACCGGGTAATGTCCCCATTTAAATTGTATATTTTATGTAGAGGTAACCACTTTTTCCTATAGGAATTAACCTTGTTTTTCCTTGATCTATTCTTCGCTGTTCCTCCTGAGAAGCTACTATATTTAGATTAATGTTCACTGCCAATGCCATGATGGCCCTAAAATCACTGCTATTTGTTTGTACTTGACTGAACTAGAGAGGGGATGAGTATCACGAAAGCCCTCCAAGGAGAGATGAAAACAGAGGTAAGAAGGGAACCGCTGCTATTATATTCACGATATTTTTTTCACTGTAATTCAGAATTGGTCAATGCCAAGCAAGTAGGTGTATATCGAGGTGTAGATGTGGGAAGTGTGGAAAGCACAAGAAGAGTGTAAAAGTTGCTCCAGGCGTAGCCAAACAATTCTAGCTTCTTGAGTGCTCTCCAAACTTTCCAAGTGCGTACAGTCCTCGATATACGCACAGCTAAAAACCTGAGCCTATTCTTTTATAATAGCGGATACAGTGGTCTCGTTTGAGCGAGATTGGGTCATCTTGTTTATCTCAAACTGTAAATGAAAATTCGCTTCTTTGAACAAGTTTTCCTAACCTAGACGAGAACTTTTTCAGCAAAATGCAACTGCTCATTTCATGTTTTGTTCGCTGCATAGAGATATAGACCAACGTGGCTTAGTAGGAATTAGAAATGATACGCGCGCGCTGTGTTATAAAAATTTGCCTTGATTTTGATAAGGCAGTCATCCCAGGACCTCTGCGTTTGTTTGCATTTTGTTGTCTGTTTTCTGTGTTTTCTCTTTTTATAAATTAATTTAATTTTCCAACGACCAAACTTTTACTCATGAATTGTAATAAAGGGATAAAATCTTAGTGGATAAAAGTGAGAAATAACCTCGGGTTCTCAATGATATCTTCGCTTTTGGACGTAACCTCTTCTGCTTTTTATTGTGCAGGCGACAAAGTAACTATCTTCGCTGAAAATGTCTTTGTGGGGGAAGGAGACGGCTCCGTGAATACAATGAATGTTGGTCGAGGTTGGTGTTAAAACCTTCAACTCTCAGAGCTGATTAATTTGTAACTTCTACATAGAAAGTCATTTTATTGTTCCACAAACAGGTGTTAAGAGTAAAAAACCTATCTCTCTATCTCCAATTGAGTACAATATAAGATTAACTCGTCTTCAGTAATTTAACCCTCTAACTCCTACGAGTGACCAAGACAGAATTTCTCCTTACAATATCAATACAATTTCAAGCAGACAACTGATGAGAATAAAGAAAAATATTAATTAGGGGATTATAAGTTGATCCAATACCAAATTCTCCAAACTAACATCACAAGAATTATATGGCAAACAGTAAGGAGAATTGCTAATGAGATCTTGGAAGTTAAAAGGTGAGGACTTATATCAATGAGGTTTTAAATGGAGCAAAACAGACGCCATTGCGAACAACTATCAGATATTCATTCTCTGCTTTTATGTGATGTCACAATTTTTCCATTTTTACTAGGGAATTCCCCTTCGGGGACAACAAATCCAGGGCGTTTAGAAATGCCACTTCCAACCTCTGGAAAAACCCCAGTTCATGATCCAAAGTCGCCCTTACCTTCACCGGGGTTTCCACCACCGTGTATGGAAAGAAGTGACATGGGTGCTAATTCAAATGGTGTGCCGCTACAAGGAAATGAAAAGGATGAGTTGGTAGTCGTTGATTCCAGGCCAAATGAGATAACAGGGGTGGAGTCTGATAAAGACGCAAGACTGCCCGTCCAAGAGGCACCTGCTGCGGAGGATGCTCTCCTAAGTGAGATGGAAAATATGAAAGAAAGACCACAACAAGAATCAGGTTTTCCTAAAAAAAGCACAGGACATCCTCCTGTTGCTGGCGATGAATCCTTGTCGTCTGACAAGGATGCTAGGAGACCTATGCAAGAAATGCCAGGGGCGCAAAAATCTCCTGAATCGGTCGAGTTTGAAAACATGAAGGAAAGGCCGGTACAAGAATCAAAAAGCGTCACTTCTGATTCGTCAGGTAAAGAGGCGAGAAGACCTACACAAGAGTCACCGGAGAAATTATCTCCTGGTTTAAGCAAAGAGGAAAACATGGAAGAAAAGCCGATCCAAGAGTTAACAGACGAGAAACGTTCGGAGGAAACAGCTGTGCAGGAAAGCGAAGAAACTCCAAAGAAAGAGGAAGAGTCAAGGGATCACCCTGTCAGGCATGTTTACCACGAAGGTGACTTGAAAGAACTCACAAAGGAAACCCTCGCTCAAGAAACGACAAACCAATCTGGCGAGGAAACAAAAGACCAGAGCCCTGAACATCAAGTGAAAGAAGGCGAAGACGTTAGACCTCTCAAAGATGACGAGTGCTCTGACGAAAAACCGCTCAAAGCAAGTACCAGACGTGAGACAGAAAGCAAAGGTAGCCCAGAGGAAGCCTTACCGACTCAAGAGACTATGGCCGCGGGGAAAGGGCCTTTTGAAGAGACTGAGCCGGAGGTTGGCGTCAAGGGGCATCCCACGGACTAAAGAGAGAACTAGTTACGGAGCTACCTTGGATAATGATTGAAAGGAACGGTTTTAGGAACAAAAGCTAGCCTACAGTGCATTCATAGAAGATATCAAGTTGCATTCAACTTCAATTTGGCCCTAGCATTCTTAGTATGTTATACGAGTAAAACTTTTAATTTTTGTTATTGTATGAATGAAGCAATTTCTACGGAGTTTTTCTCCTGGTGAGTTCTTGTTTGAATCTCAATTGCAGTTTGCTCTTGTAAACTACTGTTTTCCACTGATTGGGACATAGTGAACGAGCCATAATAGATATTGCTTCTCTGTAAACCACGTTAGAGGACTACATCTTGTCATGTTATAGATTGTGCTGTTTCTTGTGCAGACACCAAAACTTCCATTACGTTTTCTGAAATAAGAACGGTAAGGTTATTTTGAACGGGTACGTTCGTAATTTTCTTAAAAAGGTGATAGTTCGATGGTCCTATGAAGACTCACGTAATTAATCCTTTACACTGAGTGATATTCGTGAAATTCTCAAAGAATTGTCCGGTATCATTTTTAGTGTAAATAAATTGAATACACGTCGTTTACACAAAGTTAGACTGAAGCTTATTATCTGCATATTTTTATTTTATAGCATAACAGTCATTTTAACTTTAAGTTAAATATTTTTGAGTGCTATGAATACAGCCAACAATTTTAATTAAGTTATATTAAAAGATGTACCGACCGCGTATTAACCTTCACTCTTGATCAGCGGTTTTGTTGCTGAACAGGAAATAAAATCTTGAACTTGACGAACGAACTGAAGAAACTCGGGCAACTCGGCACATCTTATTTCTGGTTCCCAGTCCCCTTCGTTGAGAAGCTGATCCCATTTTTCACAATGAAGGTGAATATCCGTCTAAAGGAAAAGAGAGAAGTTCGATAATTAATGAACCCCCTAGTTAACGACGCCGGTATTAAAGCTGACAATAATCAACTCAATCGATTAAAAGAATTCGGGTAATTTGATGGAGAAAAAACTTTCTTTGTTAACGACTAGATTATTCACTCTCGATTTCTTTCAGGTGATATTGAGTGAGGGCAGAAATCGAAAGCGATTGATTAAATCATTTCACTATCTAGTACTCGTTGAAAACGTAACATAGAGACAGGCACTTTTATTGTATTTTGTTTGGAACTGTACATTGTTAGGTCACCCTTGTACTCTGTGACTATCGCGGAAATAGATAGCGAGAAGTGTAACTACTCAGATTGCACCATTTGTGATTGAGCGCTACATTTGTACTAAAATAAGTCGTAAAGTAACTGTGTTGTTAACGACAAATTTTCCTACCGTCACTCTTTTTTCCTCATCTCTGAGATCACTGCACCAGGATCTTTCATCAGAGACAATCATGGTAAATCCAGGCTGGGGGTGTACAGAGTCCGGCGGGAACATCTCCGATGAGTGAAATTAAATCCCTGGGGTAATTCCTCGTCTTCTGGAAGGCGTAACCCGTCGGCATCGGAAAATGTCAGGCCTGGGAAAATGTCAACTCAGAAAGATAATTTGATATGAGGTGTGTTGCTTCTTTCTCGGTTGTTGTTAGCAACTAAATCATCTAAGGAAAAAAACAGACAGGTCAAACATTAGTATTTATGTTGGTTTCGCATTTATTAACTCACTCGCCAATTATTTACTCACCCGTTTCACCTTTGCTGGTAGATTAAGGATTTAAAATATATCTTGTGTGAGGTTTGGGCAATAGATATCGGCCATCTTGTGAGGCCAAAATTTATTTCAACAGAAACTTGGTGATCTGCATTTCAGGCAGACTATTTACATAATTTCGTGTAATTGTGTCATGACTACTGGGCTTAAAATTAATTAATCTACATTCTCAGAAAAACATTGTCATGAAACATTATATTTGTGAATACCGTAGGATGCGATCGGCATTTCCCACAGAATATTTGCATGGTTTCGTGAAAATATATGCCTCCCTTGCGTAAACGTTTTATAAAAAGGACGCGAAAAAATATTGTAACGAGCAGAGGGAGAGATCAGAACTACGATTGTTTGAAGAAGTGAAATTTGAACTGTAATTAACAGGGAACTGAAGGACTGATAGATACAAATTGTAAGTATTTTCATTTTGTTCCTGCGTTCACAAACGTACACTATTGAAACTTTTTCCTTATAATTTTTGTAATTTCAGCTGACTAGATAGAGAATAATACACGGGCGCGCGTAGATATGGAATTTCTCTTCGAGTGCTTAACTCGATAGCTCATGTGTGTTGTTTATGTGACAAATACATATATATATGTGTGTGTGTGTGTGTGTGTGTGCGTGTGTGCGTGTGTGCGTGTGTGCGTGTGTGCGTGTGCGTGTGTGTGTGTGTGTGTGTATGTGTGTGTGTGAAAGAATCAAAGAGGACACATCGAGAATGCTAAAGAATCGATGCTGGGCAGTATTTTCAAACAAAGACATCGGTCACTACATCAAGCCGATAAATGACTTATAAATCCTCTCTCTTTTTTCAATCTCAAATCACTTTGGTTGAGAGAAAAATATTGGTTTTAGAATGAATTTGTATAAACAATAGTGTCATTACGTTGGTTGACAAGAGGCCTAAAAACCGTCTGCAATCAATTTTAACTGTTAACAAAAAGTACCTAGAAAGTTAAAACGTGAGGTATGTGGTTGAACTAATCGATTGAACTTTCATTCATTTAATATCTGAATTTTTTCAAACAATTTGTTCGTAGTGAAAGGGCAAGTGAAGTTTTAATTTCAGTCCCACATTAAATACACGCTCTTGGTGAGTCTGTCCAAGTCCGTTCAATTTCAGTTGGACATTTGTGCCGTAAATTGCACAACAGAAACTGAAGGAATTTAATGAGAAAAGGCCGCATTAAATCTCCTTGTGTCGCGTCGGAGTCTATCATTCGAATTTAGTTTTTGTGGAGGAAAGACCACATTAACACACGCTATTGCAGCAAACAAACGAGCAAACTCTCACAACTGCAAAATAAAAAATTTGAATTTACTTACAATTACTTTCCTCGCCGTTTACGTAATGAACAGAGGTAAATCTTCGTACACGAATTAAACGTCGATGAGAGTGAATAATACTTTCAGTTAGATCATTGACTGTTTCTGAAGAAAACATTGTCGTGATAGTCCTTGCCAAACTAGTTCTCATTTATATGACGATTAATGACAAACTCTACTTCAAACTAAAATTATCAAAAACCAAACTCTGAAAGTTTTACCAAAACTTCAGACAGCTTTTTCAATGAAGCAATTTTAATCAAAACCAAGAGACTTTGAATGCAAAGTGGGACGTTTACTCTTCCCTAATGGAGAGTGCCATTGTGAATTCATTAACGTATCTGCTTACGCGAAAGTTGGTCGCAAGGAGCCGACAATACTTCTGATGTAGGTTTTTATCATATGCTGTTTTTTTTCTTTTTTTTTTGTTATTCAGTTCATTGTATTTAGTTTTTAACTGGGCCATTATACAAGCCATGTCAGGGTGGCACACACCTTATATAAACATTATCTATACTCTTTCTCAAAACATCAAGCTTTGATGGTGCAATTAAATGCTGTTAGGATTTTTACATTCTAGGATGTACAAATTCACTAAAATAAAATTAGAAACGGCGCCCAAGTACTACAGGAAAGATAAACAGAGTTTTTTTCTCCTGTGTGTGACTGGATGACTTCTCTTACAAAAATACTCTATCTCAAAAAGTAGAGCCTTTCTTGCTATTAATTTCAGTTGCCTTTTTGTATTTACAAATTTAAAGAACATGTTTTCCACTGTCCATGAGGCGCCCAAAGTTGTGTTGTTGCATCCTTGCACCAAGCACGTGTTGCGTAGGATGGTAATGACGTCTTCTTTAGCCGTGGATTGAAGAGCATTCACATTTAGTTAATCTATCACATTTTAGTTCTTGATCTCTATACGTATCATAGATTTAATCTTGCTCTTAAATTGCTTTTGGCTAAACTTAGTCTCCTATAGCCTCTCCATGTGGGGCCACGTGTGACTGAACTTGTCTCAGGAATTTTAAGAACTTCGGCAGCTTAGCAACGATCTGCTCTGGTTCCCAGGCTCCTTCATCAAAAGCTTCATCCCATTCTTTACAATGCAGATGAATGTCCGTCTTTTTCATACGAAATCGAAACAAAATAAGCAGTTCAAAAAAATATTAAAGCCCTTAAGACTTCCTTTGACTCAAAACATATGACCAAAGGACTTAAAATGTAGGATAGTCAATCGCTAACGAAACAACCAAGTTAACTGGTTTCAAAGCTGACGTTTTAAGCGTTAAACTTTCGTCAGGGCTAATGAAGGACTAACACTCGAAACGTCTGCTTTGATACTCTTAACGGTCAATTTACGTTATAATCTCGGTTGAAGATGATACCAAATTGACTCTCTGAATGATTAACTGACGAATTGAGTGACTGACTGACCAACTGGCTGACTGGCTGAATGTTTTGCAGGAGGACTGGCTGGCAGACTGACTGACGGACTTGCTAACGGACTGACCGGCGGACTGACTGGCGGACTGGCTGGCGTAGTGGCTAGCTGATGGACTGATATGGCTGACCAATTGACCAACTGACAAGCTGCCTGACTTATTGGTTTGCAGACCGTGATTATCTGAGTAGCTAATTAACAGACTGACTAACTAACCGACAGGCCAACTTTCGAATTAGCTGACCAGCAGACTGGCTGACAGCCTAACTGGAACACCCACTGTTTCACTGGCTGACTAGCAGACTGACTGGCCGAAGTTCTACGGATGTTTTAATTTATCGACATACTGAATGACTGTCTGGTATCAACTGCAGACGAGTGACACTGATCATAACACAAATAGCGGTGTATGACTAACATGGACGAGGATAAAGCATAACTTGATTGTAGTGATACGTACCTTTACTTCTGTTTCGCCGAAGCTCCCTATTTCACTGTGATCAGTATTTACGTCTTTAGCTTGGTCTTTACAAACGGTCAAAGCAAACTTTTCTCCATCCGTCGTTCTGCACTGGTATGTTCTTCTCAGACTGCGACGCTGGTAAAAAAGGTCAAATCCATCTGGAATCTCGGAGTTCGGTGGTAACTTCAATTGACCTTGATCAATCTTCATGTTCATCAAGTAACTTTCAAGAATTCTGTTTTCCTCTTCAGCCTCCGGTGTCTGCAGAATATTTGGATCTTGACAGAAATACAAGGACACACTTTTAATTGAGACAATGTGAGGTTTATTTATCATTATACGACAATGTTAGACAGAAGCCTATACTTGATTCCTTCCGTTATTTTTTTTTCAGTGTTACTCTCCTTGAAAACTAGTCCCTTACACAGTTGAGCGTTTTTAACTTCACGATTTTTTCTTCTGAAGTTCAGAAGAATAAATCATGGAGTAAAAAATGCTACTTAGTGCTGTAAGCTCCATTCATTAATTATTTTTGGGCGGTAAAACTGATGGCAAATATCATCCAGTGTTTCGCTCTTCAGTTTTTGTTTTTTTCTTCCTCTTTTAATGTCATTCGCGGTAAGTTTTCCATCCGCAATTAAAAAACTCATGAAATTAAAAGTTAATGCCGCTGAGAGCTGGGAGAAGCTGTTTATTACGTCTTTCTTGCCATACTTCACAGACTCACATGTTCTTATTGACAAACGGCAGTCAAATCCCTTGGAAGGTATCAAAATGTCTGCTCTCATTCTTTGCTGAAACTGAGAACACATATGGAAACATGGTTCGTTCGATGTACTTCCGGTCTCGTCTTCGGATGACACACGAGTCAAGACGCTTTTGACAGGAATAGGAGCATTGCGAGAGAACATTAGCGAAGGAGCCGTGGCACCCTCGTCCTCAGAATGTTCCTCCACCAGCCATACCTGGCATAAAGAGAGAAACAAGAAGATTTGGTAAATTGAAAACTAATTCCAATCAGTCTTTATTCAGGGAAGTAGACAGGCTTCTCTAAAACAAGTGACAGTTTTTCGGTGTCTCAGTTCCTCAGCTATTGGAGACTTATTCCTTTAATTAAGAGGCTAGAATATAGTTTAAGAGATCTTAAGAACAAACTGTCCGGATTCCTTCAAGACCGTATCGTTTTCACTGAACCTTGCAGATATAAACCAGAATACCCCTCTTCATTTCGATTCCTCTTTGGCGATACTCGAAAGTGTTTGATCAGAAGTGAAAAGTCTTTTTACCAGAAAAGGACAATCCAAGTCCAGCATCAGATGATGAAAAGAATCCTACGATATAAATGGATGTTCTTATTTACTCAATTTACAGATTTAAATTACCTTAGCACGAATATCTCGGCAAGAAGGAGTGTAGAATGTGAAGTCATATCTGATATCTTCAGTTGCTGTGAAAGATTCAAGGCCCCTCTCAATTTCCTCAACTTCTATTCTCAAAACGCCTGCCTTGAAGAAGGGCTTCCAACTCTTGCCATACGTAGATTCAACTCTTTCTTTGATCTCCTTCAGAGTAAAAGTATCTTTCTCTTCTTCTGCAGTACAGAGAAACAAAAGAAAGAAAATATTAGATTAACACCTCCACATTACACTTTTATGTTAGTTACAGAACCAGGCATTTTCGTTAATCTTCGACTTAAATTCAAGATACTTCATCAGACTTTTTGATTAATTCATACGCTCCTTGTCCCTCTGCTATGTTGTCCCCCTCTTTTTCCATTTCTCACCTTCATCAATCTTGGTTATATAGGCGTGGCCGAAACGACTCTTCATATCTATCTTAACCTTTCCCCCTTCCTCCTTCTCTTTGTGAATTTGCCTTAAAACTGCGCTGATCTTTTCTTTCAGACGGTCCGTGTCAGCAAAATCATCTGTTTCCTATTAAGAAACAAGATGATTGTAATGTCTTTTGTAATAACTGTTGGTTGTTTTATTGCTTGGGATGTTCACTTTGTTTAGACGTTGTGGTCGATTCCTCTCAGTTTAAAAGTCGTTGTGCGATATGACTTATTGAAAAATCAAGCTTTCCGAAGTTATAAGCATGCAATATGAATTTTTTCTTAATAAAAGAAATGGTTTAAAGAAATTTTTTGACAAAGGCGAGACAAAATATGATGAGAGCAAGTACAGAAATAGAGAATTTCTGTAGTTAGTGTCTTGTTCTAGGGCTGTAATTCTTTTTCATGTGGGGGTTTACAGCGAACACGTAGGAGGGCGAACTTGCAATATATAACCTTCAGTTACCTACTCATCGTGTGAAATTAGTAATGTTTATATATGGTGAATGGTGTAGTTTAAACTGTGTTGCTGAGATTTTGAGTGATTAATTTTCTGAGCAGTAACATTTACATTATGTCTGCAGGCATGGATAATTTTCTTTATTTAGGGGTTAGTTTGGGGTTAGACAGTCGTTTTCATACAAGATAAGCGCAAAATCGGGCAGACCTTTCCTAAAGGATGTTCCAGTGGCTTCAGTTGGAAAGACTTATTTTCATAGCCGGTGACTTGATCTGATTGTAACGCCTGCAGCTCAAACTCGTGGTTTTCTTCCAGCTGAGCAGTGTCCACATAAACAAACCTTGCTGGAGGTCTAACGTTCTGTGAACGTTTCATTGCACGATTCTTAAATGAAAAGAAAACCGTTAATTGCTAATGTTGTATCACGACAGACTTATGCACAATACCAAGAGTGCTGTCAGGTCACTGAACCCCTAATTTTCTTAACGAGAGCCTTCTTGAGCTCACTTTCGTTTTTGGAGATCCCAGAGGAAAGTGTGATGTCATGTCGCGAAGTTAACCCACGCTGAAATCCTCAATCGTTCTTCACCAAAACATTCAAGTAGCACCGGAACATATCTTAAATTTTAAGAGAATTTGAAGAGGGATTATCTTTGTTACGAGGACTTAAGATGTCTCTCTTAAAAGGGGTAGTCTCATTTGTATTCTATTACATTTATGTAAATTAGCCTTCATGGCCTCGACAACATATGGAAAATAACAATAGAATTTTTTCCCCTAAGGGGAGGTTAAGAGTATGACCCTTCGGGTCCTTTTTTTCACTTGCGCAGAAAGATTGATAATTATGCCTGCAGTTATAAAAGAGGTCTTCTGGTTGGATTTGGATCCTGTGTCGTAAAATCAAAACCAACATGATCACAACGACCAATCCTAAGAAAGGATGATGACACAGGGACACCAGTACACACTCACCACAATTTCCTTTATTTCTCGTATTGCTTTTTTTTCGCCCTCTCTTGATCCTTTAAAGTAAAGGCCAGGGCTGCCCCTGAAGGCTTTTAGAGTTACACCAGTCTTAGTTGAGATATTGTTCAACGTCTCATATCCTTTTCCGATGACAACACCCATGAATTTGTATGTCAACGTGGAGCTTCTTGAACCCGCCTTTTTCGTTGTCTTGAGCACCCTACGGGTCAGAACAAAGACATAACCGTATCTAGACTTAAAAAAAACCCAGGGAGAGAAAATACACACAAGCTTTGAAACTCTTGAGAATTCATATGTATAACATGTGATCAGTAATGTTCGAATGGTGGGTAGCTGATGAAATTAAGGGAAGTTCAATGACGGATCCAGAGAGTTTAAAAGCAGCAGGCTGAAGAAAAATTGCAGTAAGATAGTCACTTCATTCCATACAAATCTTACATTTACATTTTATAAAAAGAACTACTTTCAAAGCAGTAAAAATCTAAATAGGGGGCTCATTAAGAGTTTTACAGTCAAACCTCTCGACGTACATATCGATATTTTTTGTGAGGGATTTACAACCCTCTTATTTCTTTGATTTAAGTTTAAGCATCCAATGTATTGAATCTAGAACAGCTCAGCGATTTGATGGTTTAATTGACACTGAGTTAGATACAGACACTCGGCCTCCTTTTCCCACTAATGAGCTCTTACCGTCACGATTTCCTTTATTATCTTTTCCGCATTTTGACATTGTTCTGCCGTGCCTCTCAAGAGCGCTTGATTTTCTTTATTAATTGATATCTGGACTCCGGTTTGCTCTCTGATTTCCTGTATTCTTGATCCTCTCTTTCCTATGACAAGTCCAACTTTGTCTTTGGGGACTGGTATCACTCTTGTCACGGTTGTAGGTCTTCGTGCATTCAACATCTTAATAGAGGTGATTAAAAACCTGTCGAGGTTATCAGTATAATCGTCGGTGGGTCAAGAAAGAAAAATTTTCCTTTGTCTTAAGAAGTCTTGGTTTGTCAACTTTATCTGAGAATGAAGCACAGCTCCTTCAGGTTTCATTTCCGGATAATTCCTAAATAGCCTTGCGTCACGCAAGGTTATTTAATTTTTCGTTCACAAGCTTTGTTTTTGTCAAATGTTACATCCTACACGTAGTGGCAACCAATACTACTTCTTCCAGCGAAATGTTAAAGGTCATTTTTCCCTGCATTAATCGGTTACTTGGTTCCTTGAGCATTTGAGATTGTCTCTCGGAAGAGACAGAGATGAAATTCCGCGAACGACGCCATACGACACGTACCTAAATACTTTCATGACTAGTCTTTCGCCCCATAAATACGTCCATTTTCAGGCTATTCTACCCTTTAATACCTAATTCTATCATCTAGAATTAGATGGCTCTGTACACTAACACACTAAAACAGTGAAGTTAGGCTAAAGAATATGACTCAGGTAATGAATTTCACTCGCATTTGTACTCAGCATACCTGTGTTTACACTAGTGGCCAAACTCTTTTCCCCTCTCTACCCTGGTGATTAAAAGGTTGTGATCGTTTTACAAAATGGCGGCAATTTGGATGTACGAGCTTGCACCGCACACCTTGGTTTTTAACGACTTGGGGCCTTGGTTCAGTAGGTTACGGCAATATTTTTCGAGATAAATAACTGCGTTTTTTATGAAACCTCTATTGACTGATATTGGGTCTCGCTTCTCAGAAAATGACCTCTGGTGTCCGTTGGATTCTCAGAAAGATCACGTCGAGAAGTGACGTCAGTTTATCCAGGGCAGAGAGGGACAGTAGACTGTGACACTAGCCATGTTTTGACATTAGCAAACTGTACTTCTTTCACTTCAGTCGTCAGGAAGAAGCTTATAGCCTTGTTTTTTGGGGAAACCAGATTAATTTTTCATTAACATCGCCCATGAGAGACTTGAAATATATTATGCATACTCTGGAAGTGACCCACCCCACCCAGAAGTATTCTTGAGCATACGTAATTTGAATCTTCTGGAATGAAGAGGATAATTTTCAATTATGGCTACCGTACAAGATGGAGATATCGATAGTTTAGTGTCTAGAATATATCCAAATATTGATTTTTTTGAACGTAGGAAGTTTAAGGATAAACTTGTGGAATATCTAACTCATGTATCAGTACCAGCTGGCTGGGAAACTTGTGGATACAGACTGTCCAAGGAACACCCCACATACAAATACCATAAAAGGCTGCTGGAAAATTTCATGGAAGAGCAGAAATTAGAAGAAGAAAAGCAGAAATCAGCAAGCCTAACAATAACAAAAACAACACCCGAAGAGTTTGTTGAACAACTCAAACAGTTTGTCAAGGTTGCAAAACAGAATGACAGTTTTTCTGAGTTTTGTGAGGCAAGGTCTGCCCTGATTGATTTATTTCAGGAAAACTTTAAGCTTTGCGGCGTTGTGATACGGAAATGTACATACAATGCAGACCATTGTAAGGTGTCTGTGCTAATAAAAGTACCTTGCAAGGCTCAAGATGGCCATTCAGCATTGATTGAGTATGTCATTGATGTTAAAAACGAATCTCTTAGAGGATATGATCTCAAAGTTGGGGACATTGTTGAAGTGTCACGATGTTGGAGAAAGGAAGGAGTCGCAATGGAACCAGAAGTGATAAAGTAGGTATAGTTTATATCAGTTATAGATTTTAATTTTATTGTGATGGAAATTAACAACCTGCTAGAGATCTCTGAACTTATAACAAATTGAGAAATGGGTTTTTACTCCTTTTTTTTATTTTCCAAATGAGACCTAGACATTTTAAACTTCCAAATCATGCTTTTCATCATACACAGCTTCCAGATGCCATGTCCAGAAAACTGGTATGGAAAATGGTATGTGTTAATTCATCAGAAGTAGGGTCAGGATGTGGAGAACAAGGCTGCACATCTCCA